AATTCATATAAATCCTTGGTAACTGCCTGGTGTATCTCAATGCTCAATACATATAAATCAATGACCAAAAGTAGAATTTAGGAATCAACCTGTCCTCTCCTTTCCTCCTCTCTCCCCTTCCTTTCCTCAGCAAGAGGACGTCTGGATTAGCACATTCCCATACAGTGTCATCTGCTGTTGTGGGACCTGGAGTAGGAGGTATTCCCAAAGGTCCCAGGCTCTGGGAATCTCTCTGTTCAGACCACCTCTGATAATGGCAAATTCTCCATTAGAAATAATAGTAATAATAGCCACTGTCTATAATAAGTGTTGCCAACTATAAGACTTGACAGGAAGCATTTTTCAAAATTTTAAGTATATTGATGTGTGAGTGCTAAGTCACTTCTGTCGTGCCCAACTGTTTGTGACCCTAGGGACCATAGCCCTCCAGGCTCCTCTGTCCCTGGGATTCTCCAGGCAAGAATACTGAGCTGAGTAGTCATTCCTTTCTCCAGGGGAATCTTCCCAACCCAGGGATAGAATCTGTGTCTCCTGTGGGTCCTGCATTATGCGCAGATTCTTTACCACTGAACCACCAGGAGAAGCCCAACTATATTGATGCTGAGCACCTACCAAGTGCTGAGGGGGCAATAAAAGGCATTCTGCCCTCAAAGAACTTAATTTCTGGATTCCTGGAAAAAGCATCTCATCAAGCTATTAACAAGTCATTAACACCTTAGTATAAATTAGTTAATTAGATACTGGCCATTAGGAATGAAACACCCAATGTTGTTGATGAGGATGATAGAAGAGGAAGGAGGAACATTCTGGGCCACTCACAGGAAGGGTGGGCCCAGGTGGGGCTCCTGGGGTGCTTACTGGTGTTTTTGCCAGAGGGATAAAGGGAGGAACTAAAGAAAATCAGCACAGAGCTGTAGGTCACCAAGGTTATAAAGGCTCTGCCCCAGACTCAGCTGAAATCTAGGGAGACTTAGGGGCAAGAGGAGACACAGTCCCCTGTCTGGGGAGGCTGGTAATGGAGACAGGATGGGATCTACCACATCCCAGGTCCCGTCTTCATCTTCCCTTCACGCCCTTTGCAGTATTGGGGTGGCCGTTTTCTGTCTGTATGTGTTGCTCAGTCATATCTGACTCTTTGTGACCCCATGGACTGTAGTCCATCTACCAGGCTCCTCTGTCCTTGGGATTTTCCAGGCAAAAATACTGAAGTGGGTTGCCATTTCCTTCTCCAGGAAATCTTCCCGACCCAGGGATGGAACCCATATCTCCTACATTGGCAGGCAGATTCTTTTTACCGCTGATCCATCTGGGAAGCCCTGCCCAGTTTTCCAGGTGAGAATTAAATTCTGAGAGATGATGGGCCAGGCATGGAGGTCTCTGAGCTGCATTTTTACTCACCTGTAAATTGGTGAGAAAAGTGTGTCCAATCAGAGACTCAGACCCCCAGGTTACCAAGAACATCTAGCTTGAATGTTCAAGAAAATTTTAAATTGCTTGTTAAATGAATTACATTTATATGGCTGTTGGTTTTATAACCAAATGTTTTGTTCAATTTACACAAATAATCTGTAGCTTTCTTTATGTTTTTGTTTCTACATCTGCGAGAATGATCAGTTTCGCACATTCGTGTGATTTCATGGCCTCCACAGGATCCATTGGCTCCCCATTCTCAGCATTCTAGGGTCCTATAAGCCTCCAGAGAGGGTTTGAGGGAGAGAAGGGTTAGAAAATCTAGTATAATCCAAGAGGGTATTTGCTGGGTGAGAGGAAAAGGGAATGCACAGAGGAGAGGCAAGACCTGGGGACACTGAATCCACAAGGACTGCCTGGAGGAAGGGGTTTGAATTCCAGTCTTTCAAGGAAAAAAGGCTTGGGTAGACTCTTCCTGAGGAGTAGTAAAAGAAACCCAGGCTGACAGGAGGAAGGGCATCTGTGAGGAAAAGACCCTTCAGGCTGGAATGATTATGAGTGAAGGGAGACCATGGGTTGAGGGACCCTGGATCCCACACTGTGCATGTGACAGGGTGAGTGATAGACCATTGAGGGCTCTTGAGCCGGACAGAGTCTGAGCCATACCTGTCTGAGGAAGCGGAATCTAGCTGATGTAGAAGTAGGGTGGGGGAGGCTGAAGGTACTGAGAAAGGGGCAGGTGGTTCTCAGAGCAAATAATTGTCTCCAAAATTAGGGAGAATGAGCTAGGCTATTTGGATGACATCAGCTCCAGTCCTTCCAGCCCTGCTCAGCAGTTGAACTCTGGAAAAGGGCATGTTGTCTGTGAACTCCGCACAAGTACCCCTTTTATCCCCCTACATCCTCCTATAGTTTCAGGCAGGCAGAGCACTCAGTCCCAAGCCCAACAGTTGGAGCACAGTCCCTGGGGGACTTGGCCATGGTCAGAGCCATCCGTCTGGGGGCAGGACAGCTGTTTAACCGGTTTGCAGCTGGCAAGGCTGAAGGTGAGCTAATGCCAGAGGAACCAGGGTATAAAAGCCAAGGAGGACTGTCCTCCCAGACGCTCGGCTCTGCTCCCACCCTGCTCTTTGGTTTCCAGAGAAGTGCCTTCCAGGGCTGCCCTGTCCCCCTCACTTCCTCCTTGCTCAACTCCATGGCCAAGACCATCTCCTTTGAGCTTTGCTGGTCATCTCCTTTCTCTAGCCCACCCCAAGCCTCTGGCAAGGTGTGTGGACTCAGGACTCTGTGCATCCAGGCCCTGGTCCTGCCATGTGACCATGGGTAGGTCTCCCAACATCCTAAGCCTCTGTTTCTACATCTCTAAGACAGGGGGTACTAATACCTGCTCTGCCTGCTCCCCGAGGTGGATGGGAGGCATCTTGTAAATAATAATGATGATGGTAATGATACTGGTGAACACACTGTGTGGACTCTGCAGGGCACTGCTCTAAGCACTACATACATATTAACTCATTTAATTCTCACTGCAGTCCTGTGAGGCAAGTACTGTTATTATCCCCATTTTACAGATGAAGATACTGAGGCACAGGAAGTTAAGTAAATTCTTGGAAGTGGCACAGCTAGTGAGGAGTTGAACCAGGATTTGAGGTACGCTGCCTGGCTGCCACCTGTGCTCTTCGCCTCTGCACTGTCCTGGCTTTCTTGTGTGCAAATGTCCAGTGTACATGCCCGCCCTGAGGCATGGTATGAGAACCTGAGCTCACCAGCACCGACTCCTCGCACACTCTTCTTCCTGTCCCTGACTCTCCAAGCAGGAGACCTGACCCCTACTCCCCTTCTGTTTTGCTCTTTTGAAGACAGTATAATTTCAGGACTTGGGTGGGGTGCTTATGAGACGATTGCATGTTTCTCACACGCATCATGCTTTCCCCTGATGACATGCTCTGGGCTGTTCTCCCAGGCTTCTGCCCAAGGCAGACTGGTCCTGTCCTTTAAGACAAACCAAAACGCCCCTCCTCTAAGAAACCTCCCTTGATGCCTCCCTAGGACAGCCACAGCTGTCTGCACACAGCCCTATTGCCCAGGTGCCGTGTGCATCCTTCCAGCCTAACAGGTCCCCCCAAGGCTGGGCGATGCTCCCTACTCCTTGGCCCCAGTCTCCGGGCTTACAGTGTGAATTGTGAGCACTGCTCACCAGCTCATAGACATGTTCCCATAGGTGTCAGAGGCCATGTGGGGGCCCACATCTGCATACGGGTGGTCGTGAATACAAACTTAAGCAGAATGATGTCCAGCCAGTAGGGACCAGCATGGCTGTCTCAGTTTCCTGTGGCTAACACCTACTGTGATGGGTTAGTGTCTAATTAAACCAGTGGTTAAATATTTTGAGTCTCTTCCATAGGCTTGAGTCTGTGGGCTGATGAGCACATGTCTACACCTGTGTACCCAGGTTTCTGATGGCAGTCCACCTGACAACGAGCCCCGTCTTAGATTAGCTATCACTGTCAGACCTCCAAGTGTCCATTCCTCTCTGTTAGTGCACACACACGAGAGCCGATTGTCCTGTTTTTATTATATTCTTTTTTAAGAACAGAGAAAGTGGTGACTCCCAGCTTTTGAGTATAAGTAGGTCCCAGTTGTTCATTGTTTGTTTTATTTCCATTATTCTGGGAGATGGATCAAATAAGATATTGCTGCAATTTATGTCAGAAAGTGTTCTGCCTATGTTTTCCTTTAGGGGTTTTAGAGTGCCCGGTCTCACATATAGCTCATCAACAGTTTTCGTTTTCTATTATTTTTTTATTACAGCTATCCTAGTGGATGTGAAATGGTACCACTTTGTGGTTTGCAATTGCATTTCCTGGTGATTAATAATATTGAGAATCTTTTCATGTGCTTGTTGGCCATTTGTGTATCTTCTCTAAGAAAGGTCCATTAGATTCCTCTGCTCATTTTTAAATTATGTTGTCTTCTTTTTATTGAGATGTCAACAAGATGTTTTGGGTACTAGATCCTAATCAGATATGTGATTTGCAAATATTTTCTCTCATTCTGTAAATTATCTTCTCACTTTCTTGGTAATGCCTTTTGATGTGTAGAAATTTTTAATTTTGATGAAGTCCAATTTCTGTATGTTCTCTTTGGTTGCCTGGGCTTTTGATGCCGTATCTAAGAATCTACTGCCAAATCTGTTCACCTCCCACCCACACCACCCACCAACCAACAAAACAAGTACACAAAACCTAAGCCAAAACTTACTGTGATGCTGTGATTTAAATTCTTTTTAAGAACCTATGCTCTCACTTTTCTAGTTATCTGATTAAACTCTTCTCCTCCTCCAGGAAGCCTTCCTTGCTTAGCTTCCCTGTTCTGATCACTTCTCAGCATTGCTGCACTGGGCTGCCCTTCCCTGATTTGTATGAGTGCGTGACTTTGTGTGTGTGTCTGTTTCTCCCATTGGTCTGAGTTCACCTCCAGAGCAGCCTCCAGGTTCCTGAAAGTCTTGTGCCCATGAGTGAGATGGAGTGTATCATCAGAGATGGGCAGTTTTGGAGACACTGAAACATTGACAGGCATGCACCTCGGACTTTACTCAAGGACAGTTTATTGAACATATGGCAGAAATTCAGAATCCTCAGTCAAGGCCAGGAGGAACCAGGTGTCTCCGTCCTTTGGAATATTTACAAGAGCCAGGACTTCTGGGCTGGATGGTACCACCAGAGACAAAGCAAGCTTCCCTCACTGAACACAGCTCCTGGCATCAGGAATTGAGAATCAGAAGCTACTGCAGGACACAGCGCCAGAGAGAGGCCCAAAGATAAACACATACCCACTGACAGAAAGGCAACTTAAGTCTGCTGCCCTCATCAAAATAATAGTGAATTTGACATTCTCTTCATTAAAGAGACAGTGGCGTGTAAAATCTCATGGGCCCTGGAATCAACCAGGCTCAACTCCTGACCCTAGCACCCAGGGAGTGAAGGGGGCAAGTTCCACAATCGCTCAGAGGATTGGTGGGGAGGGGTCTCTTCTGTCCCGAGGATGCTTATTGCATCTACTTTGCATGATTGGATGAGAATTAAAGGCAATAGATGTAGTTGGTGCTTAACATATAGGAGTTGCTACCACCTCCGGGTTGCAAAGTAAGCCTTCGGACAACTGCTGACTCCACCGAAGCATAGCGAAAACTATCCTGCCCTCCCTTGCCCTCTTCCTCTCTCTTTCTTCTCTCCTCTCCTCTCTCTCTAGGGATGTTCTTAGGGATGTTCCAGGGCCAAGAAGGTAATTATAGCTTGTGCCCATAAGCCTCCTAGCAGCTGAGGGCTGCAGGGAAAAACAAAGTCACAAAGTCCAGATGGGACCTGAAAACAGGAGAGGATGAGGCCAACCAGAACTTGACAGTGAGACAGGCCACAGTGCATGTGGGTGGCCACATGTACCACGGGTGGTCCTAGGGCTCTGGGGAGAGGAGGGGTGTGGCAGACATCTCCAGGTGAGGTGGCAGCAGCAAGAGCATCTCTTTTTCCAGGAGCTGAGAGAACCCTTAAAGCTGACGGGCTTTACCGGGCAGCTTTCCTGGCCCGGTCGCTGACTGGGGCGCTCTTGTCTTGGGAGTCCTTGGGGTCTCCCACTCGTGCCCCTTTAGCCCTGGTCTGCCCGCTTCTGGTGCTGCTGGAGATGCTGGTCACTGTGCTGGCCATGGTGCTGGCCCCAAGGTCAGTGCTGGCCGAGGAGCCAGGGTGGGAGCCGAAGCTGCTTGCACTGCTGCTGACGACAGCTGTGGCGGAAGGGCCCAGAACAGGGGAAGAATGACAGCATCACTCAGAGAGCCACCCCCCTTCATCCCACAGTGACTCGGCAGTCAAAAAACTGCACAAGGATGGGTCAAGACCCAGCTGCACTGCAAGCTCTATGTGAGCTGAGGACAACCCAGGACAGAATGGTCCCTGCCCTCCTAGAGAGTCTAGGACTTTTTGTCTCACAGGTCCGTATTCTCAACCCTTTCTTGAGATGATGATGCCCAGAAGAGAGACACAGGAAGGAAATGAGGTTGGCATGACCTCAGTCACTGATTCCCTGGGACAGAAGGCAAATAGGCTTCCTTTGAAGCCAGAGAACCTTCCTGAGACAGTACTAGGAGCCTGCAGATGAGGGGAGATGATGACTGGACGTGGTATCACATTATCTTGTGGTCCCCAGCTTTCCCATCCAGTCAGAATCCCCAATTTGACCCGTCTCTCGGGGATACTCACAAATGCACACAGAGGAGGGATTCTCCCCAGACATCCTGCAAGACAGAAAGTTAGAGAAGGATAAAACCTCAGGAAAGTGTCTAGATTCGGCTGAGCCTTTAGATGGGTTCCTGCCTTTATATGCCTATCGTTTGAATTCATCCTTAAAACAACCTCATTGTATGGAGGTTACAATCCTCATTTACAGATGAGCAAATAAATAATAAAATTTACAGACACCAGGACCGCATAGCTGACATATGGCAAAGCAAGTGATGAGAGCCAGGTCTGTCTGACCCCACTGGCTCTTCTCGCGCCACCACCCAAGCACCTGTGCTTCATGGTTCACCTCTGACCTCCCCTAGCAGGAAGCTGAGCTCAAACAACGAACGGCCCCGTTCTGTGCTCATGTCACGAGCACTGCTGTCTTTCCTCTTCTACCTCCCAAATGGTCCCTTGGCCCAGCAGGGAGCCACCCACAGTTCCCCCCCGCCACCCTGCCCACTGGGGCATCTCCCTTGCCCCGCTCACCGGCACTCCTCGCCCTCCAGCAGCTTGCGGTAGGTGGCGATCTCCATGTCCAAGGCCAGCTTCAGGCTCATGAGCTCCTGGTATTCACGCAGCATCCGAGCCAGCTCCTCCTTGGCCTGGTGCATGGCAGCTTCCAACTCATCCAGCTTGGCCCGGGCATCCTTCAGGGCACTGTCTCCCCACTGCTCAGCATCAGCGACGGCAGTCTCCAGGTTGGTACACTGGAAAGCAAAGGGCGATGGGAAGACCATCAGAACCCGGAATAATGTTTAGATCTTAACAGTTCGGTCCCAACCCCCTCACTTTACAGATGAGGTCCAAAGTGGGAGCAAGTAATTGCTGCAGACCCAACACAATATCTGAGTTGCCTCTATTTTCTTTTGTAGATGGATATTTAAAGGCCCATGAAAAGCTGTCAGAGCAGTTGCATTTCAGAACCACAAGAAGAGACTTGGATGTTTGCAAGTTGTCTAGTGACAGGTTGGTACACTGGAAAGCAAAGGGCGATGGGAAGACCATCAGAACCCGGAATAATGTTTAGATCTTAACGGTTCGGTCCCAACCCCCTCACTTTACAGATGAGGTCCAAAGTGGGAGCAAGTAATTGCTGCAGACCCAACACAATATCTGAGTTGCCTCTATTTTCTTCTGTAGATGGATATTTAAAGGCCCATGAAAAGCTGTCAGAGCAGTTGCATTTCAGAACCACAAGAAGAGACTTGGATGTTTGCAAGTTGTCTAGTGCCTGAGGTTGAAACCAGTGACTGTCGGTTTCAAGTCCACCTTGTCCTGGAGAATCACACTGAGACCCCAACCCGGAGCCTCCAAGAATCCGACAGCGTGCCAAGGCACCTCTTTGATCAGACTCCTGCCTGCAGGATGTCTCCCAGCAGAGACCCTTCCTACCCGTTAGCACCCAACAGTGTACATCTCTGGACTACTCTAGCACTCTGCAGGGAGGGTCTATCTAAATGCTCCCCAAGTTTGGCCTGAATGGATTATGGAACAATATACGGAACAACAACAATGTATGTTGTTCCCATAAAACAAGAGGTTAAGGGCCTGAGGTTATATCCATGACCTCAGACAGAGCATTTGGGCCCTGAAAAACATCCAGTGGCACTGTGATGACAAATACTACCAGGCGGAGAAACGGTCCTCATAGAGTTCGTGAATCAGCCACGTGTTGAGTTGGAAAGCAGGCCCCATGTTCCCCACATCACCTGGCTTGGAAGGCTGTGGGGGTGCAGGAAGGAGAGCCAGCTCAGCTCTTCCAGGTTTGGCAATTCTATCACTGGACAGAGTTGACCTGCCAGGGTCAATTGGGGAAGGATTCCCTACCCCCTTAAAATCATCTCCCCAAAGATATGGTGTTTTTCTGCTTTCAGACAAGACAGGGTTCCCCAGCTGGAAAGGCAATGGGTACAGGGCAGACAACCCAGAACATCTTCATCTGCTATCATCCTCACTGGTCACCCAGTGAGAGCAGTGAGAGGAGGACCTTAACTTGGCCACTGAGGGTCCCAAGGAGAGGCTCCCCAAACCCTACATGTGCTGAGTGTCCAGTGGGAAGAAGAGGTGTGGGGCCTGCCCTTGGAGGGGCGTACCTGAAGGGGACATGGGGCGGATTTATTGCACACAGGAAAGGCCTGAGAAAAATGGAAAAAAGAAAGAGGAAACCTGAATTCTAATCCTAATAACTAACTGGACACCCTGGGAGAGTCCCTTCCTCTCTCCAGGCCAGTTTCCTTATCTGAACTGTGAGAGTCAGGTGAAATAAGTGCAAGACCCCTCCAGTTCTGGGCAGGGTGTCAGCTCAGAGTGTACGGGTCCCAAGGTATGGCGAGGAAGAGGGACCATCGATGGTCCAGAGAGTCCCAAGTCAGGCAGGGGACATCCGCTTTTCAATCAAGGATGGGCTGCAGTCTCTCCATCACAGAGGGTGAAGCTCAGCCTCCGTGCTCTCTGTGGGCTTGCTGCCCACCTGCTTCTTCACATTTGCAATCTCACAGCGGATCCTCTGGATGAGCCGGTTCAGTTCCGACATCTCGTTCTTGGTGTGTTTGAGGTCGTCCCCGTGCCGGCCGGCCGCCAGCTGCAGCTCCTGGATCTGGTTTCCAGAGACAGGAAGTTGGTGATGAGACAGGACTCCCCCCCCTCATATCCCCCACCACCCAAGGCAGAGAAAGTGTCCCGAGCAAACCCTTCCACACTGGAGCAAGCCAGGGAGATAGCTCTGCAGCAGGAGGTAATGGAGCCAGGACCTGGGTTATCCTTCCAGCTGTTTGGAGCTGATTCTGACCCAAAAGTCCACCTGTTTCTCTAAGCAAAAATCTATTTGCTGGGCCTCTTCTCCTTTCTCATCTCCCTGACTAATCTTTTCTGGGGGTGGATAAAGGGAAAATGAAGTTTGTAAGTATTAAGCACGTCCAAAGTAAATAAGGCTTCCCTGCTGGCTCAGTTGGTAAAGAATCCACCTGCAATGCAGGAGACCGGGTTTGATCCCTGGGTGAGGAAGAGCCCCTGGAGAAGGGAATGACTACCAAATCTCGTATTCTTGTCTGGAAAATTCCATAGACAGAGGAGCCTGGAGGGCTACAGTCCATGGGGTATCAAAGAGTCAGACATGACTGAGTGAATACACTCATTTTCACTTTCCAAAATAGAAGAGCTCTGAACCTCTCCAATGATTTAGCACCTCTTTATAGAGGAATATTTTAAAGGCCAGGTTCTGTTCTAGGTACTGGGGATTCAGAGGTGAGCAGTACAGGTGAGGTCCCTGGTCCCTTGAAACTTAAATTCTCCTACAATCCTTTCTTAATGATGGGTGAAGGGCCAGGGCTAAGGACTGCATGCATGTACCCTGGAGGTGGTGGGATTGTTGGCTCAGGACTTGTAGCTCAGATCCTCCCCTCACCCTTGGCCAGTCCTTCAGAAAAGAGAGGATGACACAGTCCTGGACAGGGAACAAGGAACCTGTGTTCCTTGCTGTTGGTGGGATTTAATGGCCAAGAAAGCTGGGAGGTATGAAGCCCCATAGGGCGCCCAGGTAAAGGGTCTTCTCAGTGAGAGCCTAGAAGGGTTTTGCTTCAAAGCATAACTGCCATCTCCCAGAATGCTCCTAGAATCCCACCTTTTCTTCTTGGAAGTCCTTCCACACTGATCAGAGGGAAGTTCATGGCATCCTCTTCTTCACTCCCTATCCCACTACAGGTCACCCATAGCTACTCTCCTCCGTATTTGTTACTCTCCTTCTTTCCCATCGTGACATGACCTAATCCCTGTTTTGTAGCAAGAGCACCTTGCTTCATTCCCCCATCAGAGGATGGCCTGTCCCTCTCTGTTGGAAATGCCTACCCAGTTTCATGGCTTGTCTTTGATAACAGTTTTTGCCGAGAATTCTTTTTGAGTAGAATGTCACTATGGCATTGACTATAACACTTCTTTCATTTAACACATCTCCTAAGGGATGTCTCACATCCACTGGTGGAGGTGTCCCTTCCCAGGAAAGGAGACCCAGTCGGACCTCACCTCACTCTGGTACAGCGCCTCGGCCTCAGCCTTGCTCTTCAGGGCGATGTCCTCATACTGGGCTCGAACCTCGGCAATGATGCCGTCCAAGTCTGGGTCACGGTTGTTGTCCATGGACAGGATGACAGAGGTCTCACTGGTGTGAGTCTGGATCTGGGCCACCTCCTGAGTGACAGGTGAGGACAAAGTCAGGGTCCTTCCCCCACCTCCCTCCTCTGCCCATCAGACTTCTGGGCCTGTGGCGCCTGGCGGAATGGGCCAAAGTGGAGAGAAGAAATGCCTGCTGGAGCCGAGCAAAAGACTCACACAGCAGGGTACACACCATATGGGTAGCAGGCCATGGGAGGCATTTCTTGCAATTCACAGTATCAGGAATCTGTGCTTCAGTAGGACCTCACGGGGTCATTTTTACCTGCCTGCTGCCAAGGTCATTATCACAGCCCCGATGGGATTTTTTCCTGTGAATGTGGTTTCTAGGAACCGGGATCCTACACTTCCATGGCCTCCCAGGGCAGGGTTTTGCACCTTCCCATCAAAACACCCTTAATTCTGTTTATCCTAAATTCTTTTATTCTCATCTCCCTGGAAGAGCCAGAGAATCTCTCTGCTGGAAAGAGGTGGGGTAGGGGAGGGAGAGGGGTGTCCTCACCGCATCATACAGACACTTAAGGAACTTGATATCTTTGTCCAGAGAGTCCACTTTGGCCTGGAGCTCCACCTTGACCATGTAGGCTGCATCTGCATCCTGCCAAGAGGCACCCAGAGCCATTGGTCAATATCACCCACATCCCACCATGTGCCCTGTCCTTGCCCTCAAAGTCAATTAACTTCCTATCTTTTGCCCGCCAAGGGAAGCAGGTTGGTGAATAAAAACCCTCAATGTTGTCTTTCTCTCCTATGCACCTTTGGGGATAAATAAAAAAGTGGGGACTGCTCTTTTTCTGTTGCCCCTGGAGAAAATGAAGCCCAGAGAAGTAGAGTGAGTTTCCTCAAGTCACACAGGAAGGCTGAGCTGAGCCAGGGGGTTCCAATTCCCAGACCATGATTCTCTCCTATCTGTCTCCGCCCATACCCTAGACTTGTGTCCGCTCCACCTTGCTAGAGGCCAGAATACGACTCCATCCCCACTCAGGTACCAGCCCCTCCCCAGAAAGCCAGGGCTGGAGTCCCGAGCAGGGTTGGTTAGGATGGGGATTCAAGAGAATCGGAGTCTCTCTTACCTTTTTGAGCACCACAAAATCGTTCTCGGCGGCTGTGCGCTGATTAATCTCCACCTCATACCTGTGGGCAAAGAGAGAAGATAGCAGAGGTCTCAGTCCCCTTGGCCAGGTGACCCCCTCATCACACTGACCAGGCAAGTGCTGGGGATACAAAGTCTCCACAGGATCTGCTGCAGCACTGCAGGGGCTGGGGCTGGCAGTCCTGTGTCCCTAAATTGCCTCATTAACCTTCCATTCTCTGGACCCTAGGAAAATATCTAGGCGCCCCAAACCAGTCGCTGAACCCATTGGTGGATCAATGAGCAAAGAAACTCCTTCCCATCAACCAGGTAGGAAGTTCTCATCAAATAGGGGTGGTCCTTCCTTCACACTCAGAGGAGGGGTGTGAGCCCTTGACCCTGGTGCTTGCTCCCTCCCCTCCTAAAAAGTGGCACAGAGATTGGATGATCCGAGGAGCCTCTGCAAACATGACCCACGACCTTGGCTGGGCCCACTCACCTCTTCTTATAGTCTTCCACCAGGTCCCGCATGCCCTTCAGCTCCAAGTCCAGCCTCACCCGGTCCCCGGACAGCATCTCCAGCTGCTTGCGCAGGTTGCCAATGTAGCCCTCGAGGATGGGCTCCAGGTTTTTCCTACAGCTGTTCAGGTCCAGCTGCTGCAACAGCTCCCACTTGGTCCTCAGCACCTGGTTCTGCTGCTCCAGGAACCTCACCTGGAATCAGATTGGTGCTACCAAGTCTCGTGGAAAAACACCATTGATCCTACCAGGTTATACAGATTTTTTTTAAAAGACATTTAGCTCCAGTCCTGACTCCCCACTCATGGAATTCCATGCAAACAAGACCCTTTACAAGGGTTCAATCTGTAGCCTTTCAGGCAAAACTAGTCACTGAGAACTCATTGAAGAAGGAGATTCCACAGCCGGCTTCTGTTGCCTGACCCAGCCCCAGGAGATGTTCTTCTTCTGTCTCAGCTAAGTGTTTCTTCTGTACCATGGGTCCTTCCCTCTGCATAGTGCTGATTCTATCAGCCCTCCATCTGCCTTGAAGGACTGGAGGGGCATCCAGCTGACCTCCAGATTCCCATCAATTCTTCCTCAAGGTAGGGCTACCCTTTACCAAAATTTCCACCCTTCTCTGTAAAAGAAAGCAACACATTCATTCATTCCTTCGTGCTACCTAGCTCACAGGTTGTGCTATGATCACAGAGCCCTTCATGAGGTCCAACAGCAGCCTTTCCATCCACAGTGCCCTGTGCACCACCAGGCAGAAAGGGATCACCCACACCTCACTGGACTGTCTCATCCACCTGGGAGACCCACCTTGTCAATAAAGGAGGCAAACTTGTTGTTCAGTGCCATGATCTGCTCCCGTTCCTGGGTGCGCACCTTCTGGATCTCCGGGTCCAGCTCCACATTGAGAGGAACCAGGAGACTCTTGTTGACGGTGACCTGGTGGATGCTCCCAGGTGGGCACATGGATGGCCACACAGGCCCCAGGACCACACTGCCAAACATACTGCTGGCAAAGCCGCTGGCCCGGCCCCCTCCATACCCAGAGCCAAGCCTGAAGTTGTAACCTCCAGTCCGAACACTGCTGCCAGCCACCTTGAGGGGAATACAGAGATCCCCTCTAGAGAGATTGTAGAGGCTTCGGCTTCCGAAGGCAGCACCAGCTCCTTTGCTGGGTGCACAGTAAGAAGCCGCGCTGCCCCCAACCTTCCTCAGCACCACCGCCGAGTGCCCACTGAAGCCCCCCTTGTCACCACCAGACTTGATATTCAGTTGCCGGCTCATGATGGCAGAGATGGAGGTGGCAGAGCTGGAGTAAAACAGTCACCAATGGAGAGAGAACTTTTGATGGGGCTCCCAGAGCACTGCTCCTTTTTATCCTGTCCATCCCTGAACACCGGAAAAGGGTGTTGCTCCTGTCTCCTTTCTTCCTGCCGAATGCCCTGAGGCCATGGGCAGTTTGCGGAACAGACATCTCCAAGCCCTTTGCAGCAACAAAGTGCTTCTGATAGTGAGCAGAATACGCTGCCCTTGCAGACTGGAGTGGTCTAATCAGGCGTTTATCTGTGCTCCTAATTAGGGACCTGGAGAGTTATCCCCTTCAGAGATCTCCTAGCTTAATTTTTTCCAGGGCTGCCTCTTTCTTGCTTATCTATCAGTAAGGAGCAGGGGAAATGCCTGGCTTTGTCCAGAGAAAGCTCATCAGAAAACCCCAGGTTTCCACCCTAGAGAACCTACCTCTCTCTTTGCTGGTCCTGTTGAGGAGTTGGGGTGTTTGCATCAGAGAAGATGAAATTCAGAAAGGATGTGATGCATGTCTTCAAAGATCTAAGTCCAAGAAAGAAGTTCCAGGGCTCATTCTCTGGGTCACTGTAAGGACCACAGCTGTCTAGTAATGGAACGGACCCCAGGAAGGTAGTGGAAACGACCATGTCGAGTCTGCATGCCACCCAGCAGGGGACTGTCTGGACATTTCTGTACTGGGCAGGGACTGGGTGGTGATTACCTCGACGTTGCTTTCTCAACAGACAGAATCTTTTCAGGTAGCTGGTAGTTTCTGCAGCTGAATTTTTTCTCCTGGACAAGGTTATCTGCCGCATCCTAGGAGATGAGCCATGAAGCAGGCTTGGAGGTGGGCCATTGACTCCCCTGGGGAGAATGTCTCCCCTAGCACTGCCTGGGGACATGTTCCAAGTCCAGTGACCAAGGCACTGGAGCCCGTGGGTCTCGCTCCTGGAATCAAGGTAACTGTTTTGCTCCTTTCTTGATCACTTTAGGAAGCCATTCAATTTTGGGTCAGGTGAGACCAGATTTTTGTAGCTCAGGGAGCCCTGGTGGAGATAAATGTTTAAAAATTACTGCAAAAGCAGACATCTCCTAGCTCTGACTCTGACCACTTTTTCAGTAATGAAATTCGGGAGCCTTGGCTCATTTGAAGCCAGTGATAGTAGACAGCTGCTCCACAGCTGGGAAGGGGGAGTGCATGAGCGGGACAGCGGGATGTGCATAGCCCTGAACGGCTTCCTCTGAGGGTTTCCTCTCACGAAGTTCTCTGCAGAGCCCCAGAGGCAGCGGTGGAAGTTTCTCCAAGGTCCCTGTCTCCCATCCTTCTTGGCAGGGCCTAGCCCTAGGGCATGTGTGCTAAGTCTTAATTGAAGTGGTTTCTTGTGGTTTTCCAAACCAGACTGCAAGTGCTATTGAATGAACGTCAACAAATAGTGTAAACCCCTTGACCAGAGGTGGCTATCTTCTGGTCCCAGCCCCTAAGAAGCCTGCAAACCAGTGAGAGGAATCTATGCAAAGAACTTAACCTTCGGTTAAAGCTCTGGAATAAGAAAAGTTGGGAACAAAGGATTGGAGGTGTGCTGGGGAGTTAAGGACCTCTGGAAGGCTGGGCTTCAATTACTTGTGGCAGGGTGGTGGACTAGGAGCTCCCAGGCAGTGGGGGGGGGGGGGGGTTGAGATATTAATCTCAATAATGGTAGCAGTGGTGGCAGCAGCAGTATCTGTTGTGGTAACAGAAAGAATCAATGTTGATTGGTCACATCACATGTGCCAGACATTGTGTGAACACTACAAGAATTCTTAATGTAATCCTCATGTTACTGAATTCACCCTACAGTTGAAGACTGAGGATTATGGACCCTAAGAAACTTGCCCAAATTCACTCAGCTAGCAAGTCAGAGCTGGATCTGGAATTCCAGTGTGTCTGGTTTCAAAGTCCATATTCCTAACCATCACCATCCTGTTATGTGATGGAGATGAGAGAGCCATAGATGCAAGACTTTCGGATGCACAAGGCATGTGGAGCAGCTACGGCTCTGAGTTCCTCCTACTCATGTTTCTATATGTTGTTGAGATGAGCAGATGACATGAGAGGAAGGGGAGGTTGTCCCTGAAATGGGCGCTTATGTAAGGTGCTTGCTCTAGACCAGACATCACTCTGAGGTTGAAAGAGAAAGTCAGCCAAAATAGGGGTGGGCGGAGGGAGGAAAAGACTCACTTTCGTGGGGGCTATTTTATTCTACAATGTCCGGTAGCTGGGCCTTCACTGAGAGGCTCCAACTGGGAAATCAGCATGACTCTGGGGATCTGACTTTTCCTGGGCCAAGTGTGCACCTCCACTGCCTGGTGAAGTATGAGCCCAATATGTTAGGGGCGCTGGACCTCAACAAAAGATAATTTACAGGAAAGGCACAAGACTAGGTCTTCAAAGCTGGAGAAGATTTAGAATAGATCAAAAGCAGAGTTTCAGGTGCCCAGGAAAATGCTACAGAATGAACTGGGCCCCTCCATGCTCAGAAGTGACAGGCTGGGGAGAGCCAGGGGTAGGGCTTGGGGTCCCCGCACTCTCTGTATTCATTCCACAAGCAATCAATGAGTGCTGGCGTGGGCGTGGGCCTGGCCCAGTGCTGGGGGCTGAGCAGTAAGTCTAGTGATGGTGATGATGGTGATGGCCGTGGCAGTGGTGGTTGCAACACGGAAGAGGAGGAGGCAGAGGGGAATTTCCTGACGACAGTGTGGCGATTGTGGCCAAGCACAGGGGCCCCTCCCAGGAAATTTAATTGCAGAGAATTGCCTTTGCTACACAGTAGGATCTCTGACAGTTCCAATCTTCACCATGCGGGCTACCCTCTAATTACTCATCATAGTCCACACCCCAATCTTGAGTTCACGGGACTAATGAGTGTCCCAAGGCTTGAAGAGATTGGTTCATTCAATAAGTAGAAAATTGAGCGCTACTCGGTGAATTGCTCTAAGCTAAGCTAGACATCGAAAGAGAAACAGGTAAGACCTTCTCCTTCCTTCTAAGAAGTTGAAATTGAACAGGAGGAGACAGAATATAAGCACATGAAAGTTGCTTTGCTGTTATTGCTATAGTTTAATTCCTTGTGTTTAAATGAGTAATTCAGATAAGCTTTTACTGAAATTCTGCTTTTAAAAATAAATCAGAATAAAATATATTGGTCTTCCTGAGTTGGGGGTTGGGAATGGGAAGGTGAATAGATGCACAAGAGGCATCTCATCCAAGAGGCAGTGAGTAGCCCAGGTGGACTGCAGGGGAAAGTTTGACTTGGGAAGCAGAAGTTGCTAGGAGAAAAATGACAAAACAGGTCAAGGTATTTCCCTTCTCCCTGAGGATAGTGTGGAATCATGTGAGGGTCCTCAAGGGAAGAAACCTCACAGAGTGTGTGCTTTAGATTAAAGAACAGGCTCTGGGTTGCATGAGGAGAACTATGCGGGGGAGACAGGTACCCCAAGGAGACTGGAAGGAGCTGAGCCCATGTGCCCCGTAATCTCCCGCCATCTCGGTTGAAGCTGCTCCTGGAGGGGAGAGGTCTTGCAGAGCATTCCACAGTGGAGGAGAGTAGAAAGCAGTGCCACAAATAATCCCAAATGGACATAACTGAGGTCATGTCAAATTGGTTTGAGAATGGATGTCAAAGGTCTTTTTTCTCTAATCCATTGTCCATTTGACTATTCCTAGACATAGTCAAGGAAGCCAGCATTCGTAGAAGGTAATTAATGGGGAGAAGAAGAAGCTTGACAGATTCTTGAAGGAAGCTTGATGGGTAATAAAACTTGGGGGCAAACCGCAGCACCTCGCAATGGAAAGGACAGGAAGCTGAGTTCTCTGCTTTCCTTTCGAAAATGAGCTCAGGGCAGAAACCAAATACTCTCAGCCTGTCTGAACCAGTTTGAAATGAGGCTGTTTTTCCATCCTCATCCAAAGTTAACTAGAACAAGCAAGAGAGTTCACCTGCTTTTCTCCTTCTCTCCCCTTACCCTCTCCCAACACCCTTCACCTTCCTGACATGAAATTCCCTGGGTCTTAGTGTATCAAGTCCAACAGCAGATGGGACTGAAGCTTGGGTCAAGCTCACTGCTGCAGTCTGGGGACCTGGGCATCTGGCTGGGGTACAGTGGGTGCAAGAGGATGTTCAGAGACTGAAGCCAAAAGTCCCGTGTTTGTAAGGTGGGAAAGGGGAAATTCTAGGCACAAAAGATGAGGGCCAGCACCCCAAGCCAGATGACTGAAGCAGCTAAAGACCATTTTGTAGGGTGACCAGCTCTTCCAGTTTGCCCAGGACTGAGGAGTTTTCTAAGTGGGATATGGGACTTTCTATGTTACAACTTGGACTGTTCTGGAAAATCTGGACAGTTGATTGCCTGACCATCACCCACCACACCACAGAGTAAAGAATATCAAATTCTCCAGTAGTTTAGGGGGGTCCCTGAAGCTGGAACATCTTTCCAAGTCTGAAACTTACATAGTCGAGCAATTCACTGGCTTCTCACCATCCCCACTGTTCCCTTGCCTCCTGCCCCCAACACACACCTGTTAACATGAATTTCCCAGATTATTAAGAAAACAGATAGCTGGATGGCGCCAATATAAATTCAATTCCACTGTCATGTATTCAAGTCCTGTTATAAGGCACTGTATTGAGTGAAAACCCAGACAGGCAGTCAAAGGGGTCAAAATCTCTGCTGCTTGGTGCCACATAGTATAAAGGACATTGTGCAGTAAGCTTCTGTTTATTAAAACTTAGCAGAGGCTATTCAGTGACCTGAAATCTGGCAGCAGCTTCCTTATCACAGGTGGTCTCATAGAACTTTCTACCCATCTCTCCACACACCCCATCTCTGAGTCTGAGGTTTTCCCCATGACTTCTTCTCAGCACCAGTGTCTCCTTCCTCCTCTCTGAGGTCCAGCTCAGGAGACAAATGTCGGAGCAGTTTAGCCAAGCGGCTGCAGTGCCTTTAAGATGCTTTTGTGCCAGTTCGAAAAAGGCGCCCCTTCCTCTGGGCAGATGCAGCCCTTTGCCAGGGTG